TCTGGCTTGATGATTGTCTCACTTTTAAACTTCATGTCAATAACCTGCTTAAAAAGCTGAGGGTTAGGCTAGGTTTCTTTTTCAGAAACAAGTCCTGTTTCTCGCTTGAGGCCAGGAAAAGGCTCTGTGACCTTTTTACCTGTGCTGGACTCTGGTGATTTGATGTATATGAATGCACCTGCCAATTGCCTGGTAAAGTTAGATGCTGCGTATCACAGCGCGCTAAGATTTGTGACAAACTGTAAAGCATTAACCCATCACTGTACCCTGTATGCAAGGGCTGGTTTGCTTTCACTAATGGCACGTTTCCACTGCAGCGGGGTAGCCCCGTTTAAGCGTCCCTAAGCGTCCTCGCTATGGCCTCGGGCTGCCTCGCTGGCCGGCCCAGGCCGTGGCGCATTTCCATTACAGTTTAGGACCTGGGGTAGCAACGCAGTGTAGGCGGGGCGATCGGCTTTGTTTTTGTTCACATTTCGAGTTGTTCCGTCGAGCTCCCGCTGGATTTGATCATCCCCAATGAGATGAAGGAACGTCGTCACCTCCTCGGTCGACCACGGTGTGCTTTTCTTAGAAGTAGCCATTTTTGTAGCTCCTCCGTTTACAAAATGCTGTGTATAAAAATGCTGCAAGCTTGCTTCTAGATATATATGCGACGCTAGGGATGAACTCGCGCACTCTTGTGACGATTCTCTCTGACCAATCAGCAGTCGAGAGTGTTGACGTCACTAGTTCAGCCCTGGCCCTGGTCTGAGGGAACCACGATTTTATGAGGCCGGAAAAAGAGGGAAAAAGTACCCGCTGGCCGGTACTAGGCTATATGGAAACGCCACCAAAAACCGGCCTGGCCGCTTGAGGACGGTTAAGGACGCTTAAACGGGGCTACCCGCTGCAGTGGAAACGCGCCATAACTGTACGGAGGCTCAGTCACTGGTAAATGTTTATATACAAAGCCATGTTAGGGAAACTTCCATCTTATATCTGCTCCCTGATCTCACGGCGAATTGTAAGTGGCTACTGCCTGAGATCGAATGCTGTGGTTTTATTAAATGTGCCAACTGCTAGGACTGTCTTAGGGAAGACAGCTTTTAGATGCGCAGCTCCTCTGTCTTGGAATAGTCTGCAAATTAAATGGAAACTGAGCAATCTGGTGCCACTAAATGTTTTTAAAGCTCGGTTGGATGCTACTCAATCGGAAGCTGTTGGTACCTGTTTATGTGGATAATTATGTAAATGATGCTGTATGATGTCCTTTTGTTGTTCTATTTATGTTTCATGTGGAACTACTTAAGCAGGTCTCCCTTGAAAAAGAGATCAATGATCTCAATGGGATTTATCTGTATAAATAAAGGTTTGAAATTAAATGAAATGAAGAAGCTGTATAATTAATACATAATGATGGTAATAATGAAACCAAGACCACTGGCCAAACAGAAATACAGTCAGATAAAGAGTAGAGCAGGAAACGACTGATCGCAATGTTTAACAACTCACCAAAAAATCTGATATGTTCAATACTTTAGTTACTTATAAAATACCTGAAAAACTAATATAATTCCTATCAGCCTCAGCAGGATTTTGTATTTAGTGCTTACATGCTAACACACTAAACTAATATTATATATGAAGCTAACATCAGAATGTGCAACAAAAGTTAAAATAAAGATATTTAGCCAAACATAAAAGGTTAAAGTGAAAGGAAATCAAATAAAGTATGAATGTGCACCTTTTAGTACAATACATATTGTTTATATTACAGTACATATATTGGAAAATGAGTAATAAGAAGCTGTATAACTAATACATAATGATCGTAATAATGAAACCAATAACCTAACCCTAACGTCCACACGGCAGCGTGCGTTGAAGCTTGCCGGTGGGCGTCTCTGGCGTGCGACCAACAACCAATCACATTAATCTCCCGCCCCGGACACACAAGCACACGGTTTGATTGGCTAGCGCTTGTACTGGCATATGATTTGATTAGCTGGCGCTTCCGTCGACGCTTCAAAAGTTTAACTTTTCTCAACTTTCGAAGCGAGCAACGGAAGCAGAGCGACGCGACGGAACCACAATGCAGGTCGGCAAAGCGTGACGTCAGCCCATTCAAAGTGAATGAGAAGCGTCTCCGTTGAAGCACTGCCGCTGCCGTGTGGACGGGCCATGACAGAAATACAGTCGGATAAAGAGTAGGGCAGGAAAGGACTGATAGCAACAAATTCATTTGGGTTGAGTTCATGTTTTTGGTGTTATATCAGTTGCTAAATAATGTGCACTGATGTGTTTGACCCGCACCAGAAAACAGCGTCCAAATATGCACTTTCATGCAAACTCCAAATTCCATTCACTGCCAGTTCGGGCCCTGTGAGCCATACATAATGCATATTCTACATATTCTACATATCCTACATGTCAGCCACACATTGCTGATGAAATCCCTCGATTTATGGAGCAGAGTCACCCATTGAGGAATGTCTGCAGACACAGGCCCTGGTAGTTCTAAATATAACTCTGCCTTTCGTTTTCTGCTGTTTAACCGTTTACATATTTCACATGTTGGCTCTTCTTTTATCAATCCTCGGACATTGGGATAAGAAAAAGCTGGATGGCGACTATTTTAAGACATTCCTCGATGACTCATCGTTATTTTACATTTCCTACATGGATCGTTTCCTGCTTATTTGATAAAAGTTCTGTCTATGAATGTCCTGGATCTCCTTCATATCAGTCTGGCTGCCTTTCTACTGACTCATAGGATCGGGGAATAGTGGATTACAAGTGAGAGGATAACGTAATCAGGTTGGGCGGTTTCATCAAGACAAAAGCGATCAGATTACTGTTACGTTTCTAAAACTAGCAGGGTTCAAAAAGAGCATATAGTGTTTGTTGTAGAAGGATCAGATGTTATTTTTTCTCTGTAAGCTGTAAACTTTTCTGTCGTCTAACGGCACGTCCACGCGGTTCCGTCGCGTGCTTCACTTTGAATGGGACGACGTCAAGCTTTGCCGAACTGCATTGTGGTTCTGTTGCGTCGCTTTGCCTCCGTTGCTCGCGCTGAAAGTTGAGAAAAGTTCAACTTTTCAAGCGTCGACGGAAGCGCCAGCCAATCAAACCATAGTACAAGCTCTAGCCAATCAATTAATGTGATTAATGTGATTGGTTGTTGTTCGCGCACCAGACACGCTCCCACCAGCAAGCTTCGCCCTGACGGAACCGCGTGTTACCGTAATAATTTAACAGTACGTCCACAGGGCAGCGTGCGTTGAAGCTTGCCGGTGGGCGTGTCTGAAGCTCGACCAAAAACCAATCACATTAATCTCCCGCCCCGGACACACAAGCACGCGGTTTGATTGGCTAGAGCTTACTGGCATATGATTTGATTGGCTGGCGCTTCCGTCGAAGCTTGAAAAGTTGAACTTTTCTCAACTTTCGAAGCGAGCAACGGAGGCAAAGCGACGCGACGGACCCACAATGCAGTTCGGCAAAGTGTGACGTCACCCCATTCAAAGAGAATGGGAAGCGTCTCCGTTGAAGCAACGCACGCTGCCGTGTGGACGTGCCGTAAGCGTGAATCTATACGTCTACTGCCTGAATCTGCTTTTTGAGAATTTTTATTTTTTACACATGGCCCTAATCATCTTCTTTAAAAAATTATCAGAATCCCTTTTTACTTTAGATTTTTTTACAAAATTCTGCCTTATTTTTCAAAATGTCGATTTTAATTCTCGAATTATTTTTGATTTTTTCATCACTTTTAACATTTGAAAAAATTATGACTTTTTGAAAAAAATTATGACTTTTTGAAAAAAATTATGACTTTTTTGAAAAAGATCTGACTTTTTTCCAAGTTTTGATTTATTTTCAGAATCTGAGTGGATCAGATGTTATATCTTCTCTGTAATCTGTTCTGTTCTCTAATACTTGCAATAAGTGTGAATCTAATCTCCTACTGCCTGAATCTGCTTTATGGTTTTCACTTTCTTTGGTTCATTTGTTCTGTTTTCAATTCAGCAGGTGAACCCATATGTTCATAACATAGTGTGTGTGTGTGTGTGTGTGTGTGTGTGTGTGTGTGTGTGTGTGTGTGTGTGTGTGTGTGTGTGTGTGTGTGTGTGTATGTGTGTGTGTGTGTGTGTGTGCTTAACTGTGTGTGTTAAACTAAAATGGAGCATTTTCTGTGAGCTCAGATGTATTCGTTGTTAAACTGCAGTATGTGCTCATGTGTTTCATTGTTTGTCTATAGGCTGAATATGCTCAATAAAAGCAGGTTTTCCTATAAATTGATCATAAATATCTTGGTTTCTTCTTGTCTAAGGTCACATTGTTCTGTTGTCTTATATAATACACATAAGTAAAAAATATCTTATTGATATTTATTTTCTCTTATTATTATATTTGTTTGCATTGCATTTGATGAAGAGGTTATCCAAAAGTGACAATCCTTAATGAAAGGCAGGTTTTCCTATTAATACAATCATCTTTGATCCTAAATATCTTGGTGTGTACTCAGATTAGGTTGCCGATTATATTTACAGGAAATTAGTAATCATAACAGAATGTATTTTCCCAACCCTACTGACTCATTTATCATTTAGCATCATCGATGAGACACCATTATCCACTCCTTAGGAGCTTTAAGAAGCCCCAAAACTTCAGAAAATCCACAAATCCACCATCACCTGGGCCTCTGGAAAAACATCTGGGGGGAAAGTCGACAATAAACCGTTGATTTACACCAATTAGATAATCTGAACAGGATGGATTCTGGGTAAAGCGCCCGCTCCTGTCAGATTAAGGTGGGACGGGTTAACGTCTGTCTCCCCCCTTTCTCACCTCCTCATCATCCCTTCAACCCCCCTTCATCTCCCAGGGCTATATATTGGAGGTCGTCTGCATCTTAAGCATCATCACGCAGACATTCGCTGGCAAACACACACACACACGCACACGCACATACACACACGTGTCTGTTTGACTGAGCGGACGGAGAGCAGACTCCAGCCATGAGGGTCCTGTTGAAGCTGATCCTGGTTCTGTGTTACGTCCAGAGGGGCGAGGGCCACTCTCTGCCATCGTTGATTGGTGAGTCCTGGGTGGGTTATTTTTGGGTTTTTTGTCAATTGTGTTTTATCATAATTTAGTTTTTGTTATCTTTAATATATATATTTTTTGGTATCTTTCATTTTTGTTTTAATGCATGCCACATGAAGCTGTCTTTGGCTCAATGTGAATGTCCCCTCTGTGGGACTAATAAAGGTATTCTGATTCTGAAGGGAGGGTCGTGACCTCTGACCGTTTGGCTAAAGTCTTGCTTTGAGAGTAATGTGTTAAATATGGCTTCTATGACACAAATGTAGACTTTTTCGGCGTCTTGAGAAGTTGTTCCGATTGTAAAATACTCGCATCTGAGCTTGATATTGTTTACTGTTTCATTCAGGGAATTTAACTTTTTGTCGTTTTTTGTTGTAACTTTATCGATACACATCTTTTGCACGTCTGCCTGTGCTTTTTTAAAGAGGCCCTATTCTGCTTTTTGGGAGGCTCGCGACCTGTGACCGTTTGGCTAAAATCTTGCTTTGAGAGTACCGGTAATGTGTTAAATATGGCTTATGGAAATAATATATACTTTTTGGCATCTTAAGAAGTGGCTCTGAGTGTAAATTACCCGCATTTAAGCTTGATATTGTTTGCTTTTTCATATATTTTCTACCAGGGAATTCAACCTTTTTGTCATTTGGATTGTCTATTGTGTATTTTGTTATCTTTCAAATATAAAAACATACTGCACGTCTGTCCGTTTCCCCTTCCCTGTAGTGTGTTCTATAGGTTTGTGTGCATGTAAATGGTCTGCAAAGGCTAAAATCCCTGTGTTCCTCCAGAGGGAGTTTCTCTCACCCCTGAAATGCCTCCATTGGACTCCTTTGTTTACTTGAACATAGTGACATCACGATGAAACACTCACGCTAGCACTCCAACATATTGTACGTGATAGGCTAAGGGGTGGGACATCTCTAAGAGGTTGACCAATCACAACAGAGGCGGCCAGCTAACCAATCAGAGCAGACTGGGCTCTGGTTTCAGACAGAGGGTGAAGATGAGCAGAATATGTCCTTTTTTTTTTCTCTCTAAATTGTGGGGTTTCTTTGTGAGTTTTTACCCGTTGCTGTGAGGGTCCAAAGACAGTCTGCTGTACACAGTGTAAAGCCCCCTGAGACAAATGTGTAATTTGGGTAATTACGCCCCTGGCCAACTTGTTGCCCTACGTCAGATTGTGTTATGAGGCCCCGGGTCTGTACACAATTCGTCACTCACGGGTCGCGAGTGGGGGGGGGGGGGGGGGGGGGGGGGGGGGGGGGGGGGGGGGGTAGAGCACGCTCGTGAACTGTTAGTGCCGGGGCCTCGCTGCGGGGAAATTGTGGTGTGCATTATTGTGCCGCATTTGCGCATTGGATGAGGCCCTACGCACTCTGTGTTCTGCGTGTAGGGAGGGGCGGCCCTGATTACGCCATATGAATAAAATGTGATTGATTGATTGAATTCTGTTCATAAGATTTGACACTTTCTTCCTTTTCCAGATCACAAACAAGAAACAGCATCTTCTTCACACAACGGGGATGAATCTGCTGAAGCTTTTGCACTCGGAGCATCTGGACTCGTAGCATCTGAACTTGGAGCTTCTGGGCTCGGAGCATCCGAACTTGGAGCTTCTGGACTCGGAGCCTCTGGACTCTTAGCCTCTGATCCCTCCCCCGCTCCCCTCGTCCCGGCCCGGTCTCGCCGCTCCGCCGTGGCCTCATCGTGCGGCCTGCGCTCCGTACTGCTTCAGGTCCGGCACCTGGGCCTCGGCTACGACTCGGACGAGACGGTCCTCTTCAAGTACTGCAGCGGGACGTGCCCTCACGCTCGCAACAACCACGACCTGACGCTCAGCAACCTGCTGCAGAGCGGCGTGCTGCCCGGAGACGTGAGGGAGCACCACCACGCGCCCTGCTGCCGGCCCACGCTGCACGAGGACATCGCCTTCCTCGATAACTCCCACCGCTGGCACAAGGTGGAGAAGCTGTCGGCCGCCGGCTGCAGCTGCGTGGGCTGAGCGTGGGTCATTTAAACGGGGAAAAAGGGATGTATTGGGACAATTTGTGAGGATACGTTTGTATCATAGTGTAATGATGAGTTGTAATCTAAATGACAGCTGAAACCTGTTCTTGGGAGCTTATTTATGTCAAAATGAATGAGCTAACATCTAAGCTATTTTCCCTCTCACTTGCAGGTGAGACCTCATGAATCTTGGTTGGTCCTTTAAAGGTATCCTATCATGCTATTTGATTATTCAAACGAGGGGAAAGGGATGCATTGGGACCATTTGTGAGGACACATAAACAAAGTCTTTATTGTGAAATCATGAGATTATCCACAGACCTCTTTGTGGAAAATGTCTTGAAATAACTATTCTTTAACCCTAAGTTACATCTCCTATCATGCTATTTAGCGTGGGCGTAAAGCCAGTCCATATTTCCGATATTGCGTCATATCAGCAGCAAATCTGGATCAGCTCCGTTGTTCCCACGTTTGTTGAGATTTGGGTACTGAGGAAAAGAGAGGGTTTTGTTTTCTGACACCGGGAACACATATTTATATATAAAGGACATCGAAAAGTGCATTTTGCATGATAAGAGACCTTTAAACGGGGGAAGGGGATGCATTGGGACAATTTGTGAGGATACGTTTGTATCAGTGTCTGTAAATGATGAGTTGTAATCTAAATGACAGCTGAAACCTGTTCTTGGGAGCTTATTTATGTCAAAATGAATGAGCAAACTTCTAAGCTATTTCCCCTCTCACTTGCAGGTGAGTTCTCATGAATCCAGGGTTGTTGATTTAAGTGTTTTGACTTCAGCTGGTGATCTAACGGGCCTCAACGGGATTAGAAGTTTACGACCGTTGGCGGTTGCAGGCTTTAAAGAAGTACTCCCATAGCAGAAAATATGGCTCTTATTTTAGTTCATGGACAGTTTGCAGAGTGAAGGGAGTTTTTCTCATCTGACGTTGGCAATAAATATAAAATAAGTTATTAGAAAAGAGCCCGGCAAATGCAAGCTGCCTTATTACGATACTAGTTTTCTGACAAAAAGGTGAAACTGAAACGAGACATTATTCAACTACAAGCTACTTGATTGTTTTTGTAAATAAGCTGTATTTATTTTAATTCTTAAGTGCAATTGTGGGGTTATTAGACGATGGATTCAATGTACGAAGCTGCGTACAAACGACACAGCTGAGTGAAGTTCTTTAAAATTCAGACTGATTCGTAAAAAAAAATGTATTTATGTAAGATAAGTTATTTATTTATTTGTTGCCATTCTTTTGTCGTGCTGATTAACTTATTTTGTAATATGTTCATTGTGTGTTCTGCTCCTAATAAAGACACCTTTGTACAGAACAGTGTTGGCGATTAGTATAAAGAGAGAAATGACATGATGTGTACTCAGAGAAAAACTGGTTTATTTAACGTTTTGTACAAAAATAGAAGTTTTACACACAGACAAAAATCAAAGTCGAGTTCAAATAACTATCATCCACTTAAATCCAAATCCACGTCATGTTTTCTGTACATTTGTGAACAAAGCCTCTAAAAAGTTGTTTTTGTATCAAACTGCAATAGCTTTAATCTTAGGAGAATTACATTTTAATGAAGAAATGAACCAATAAGATCATCTAGATATCTGAAGTTATCTAAATCAAAGCAGTAGATTTCAATAACTCACTTCTTGGAACAAAATGACAATGTTTAGGCCAATTACACGTCACAAACACTGCTTTTGAGACTTCAGATTTATGTTTTCTGAATATTCTTATTTCTTTCCAACGACGCCTTGTGACTCAAAAACTAAACATGGAAGTAAGAGGTTTTTATGCCACCATGAGGTCGATGGTGTTAAAAGTTGAGTATTTAATTGTTATGATAGAAAATACAATCTTCTCATGATGCAAACTCATATTTCCTCCACCTCTACGTGGCAATGGCCTCCTCCTCCTCCTCCTCCTCAGGCTCCGCCCCCCACACCTGGACACGCCCCTCCATGGCGGTGAGGAGGCGGGTCTCTGTGGGGTGGAAGGACAGTGATTGGACGGCAGCTTTCCCCACAGGAAGCTTCAGCGTCAGAGATCCCTGCAGGAAGAAATACAGCACATGCTTTCAGAACAATAACAATGTCTGTTTCTAACAGAAGGTTAGACATTATTTATCAAACATTTGGTGGATAAATGTCTCATTTTGGAGTGAAAATATAAGGATTTGCTAGCTATTTCTTTGTTAACTTAAAGGTGGGGTAGGTAAGTTTGAGAAACCGGCTCGAGATACACTTTTTGTTATATTCCATGGAATGCTCTTAACATCCCGATAGCAATGAATATCTGAAGTGCTTTGACAACAAATCCATAAAAACATTTCATCTGTGGAAGCCGTGGTGCTGTAAAAAGTACAATTGCCGCCCTGTCTGTCAGCCTTCCATCTCGTGCACGCACAAATGTATCTCGTGCCCTCATTGGGCGTGCCGTCATTGGGCGTGCATTGCAGCAGTACTTCAATGACTCGCCAGCAACAGGCGGCCACTTTCACCAGTCTGCTGACGTCCTGTGCGCGTTCATGTGTGTTGGAGGAGGTGCTCTGTAAGGAAGTCTGAAGGAAGGGGCGGATTCTTTTCGGCTGTGTACTTTCAAATTTTAGTGCACTCGAGCCGGTTTCTGAAACTTACCTACCCCACCTTTAAGAGGGAGAGTTTCGAAAATCAAAAGACATTTCTTACTATACTTTTGTGCTAGGTCTTCCTTCTCTCCACTATAACAGAAGTAAATGGCACTCGGCTTGTTGTCAAAGTGGCAAAAACAACATATTTTAAAAAACTCAGCAAAGTTTTTATTGTGAAATCATGACCTGGTCAAGATCACCCACTGTTTGTGAAAAATGTCTTGAAATGACTATTCTTAAACCCTACTGTTTATAAGTTAAGGTTGTGTAAAATGCTAAAGGTAACCCATTCTATAAAATGCACGATGAGGCTGAATGAAAGCGTGCCTCCACCAGGTCCCAGCAGTACACGCGTCATGTATCTCAAATCTGGTGGATAAATGTCTCATTTCGGATCCCTGAAAAGATAAAAGTGTGCACTAATAGCCAACTAGCTATTTTTTTGTCAACTTAAAAAGGGAGAGTTCACCCTTCTTCCAACTATAGTACTAGGTCTGCCTTCTCTCCAATATAATAGAAGTAAATGGCACTCGGCTTGTTGTCAAAGGGGCAATAAAAAAAACATTTGAAAAACTCAACAACGTCTTAATTGTGAAATCAAGATCATCCACAAACTTATTTGTGAAAAATGTCTTGAAATAACACATTTTAAAGCCAACTGTTTGTAAGTTAGGTTGTGTAAAATGAGGCTGAATGAAGCGCACCTCCACCAGGTCCCAGCAGTACACGTGTCCGTCCTCTGAGCAGCTGAGCACGTGAGTATCTTTACCGGAGAGACAGCAGTCCAGCTTATAGCCCTTCATCTTGTGTCCCGTATACCTGAGAGACAGACAAACAGACAACATGAACTTTCTATTTTTAAACTGTATTTTCCTTTTTCATAAACAACACAAACAGTGACAAAGACAAGTGTGCAGGTTGTCCATTTGTTTTACTAGGAGGAACCCCCCCCCCCCCCTACAGAATAAGACTAGATTAATAAAACAAAAACATTTAAAATGATAGACAAACAGATGGTTGAAATCACAGCACAGAGATACATGTTAGTCATGGTTGGCTATAGTTAATGTGTTATACTGTAATTCAGTTTAAAAATTAAAAGATAAAAAATGAGGAATCAGTTAAGGCCCTGTCACACTGTCCCGAAATTTACTCCCGATGGACACACGAATATGGAATTGTGAATTTCGCACGAAGATGGCCCCGAACCACACACGAAGGCAACATTTACATTACATTTAAGACATACAACTGCAATGAAAGTACCAAAAACAATTATGTTACAGTACTATGATACTGTACTGATATCTTCAGACTTTGTTCTTTACTTTATCCGTCTTTATATGTAGAAAATATTACGTTTTCTCCGTAATGTTGTTTCCATAACAACAACAACTTCCTGTCAACTGTCCTTCAAAATAATATATTATATCCTTTTTAGTTTCACAGAACACAAATTGGGTTATTTACATAATATATTTACATGATTTTGTTGTGCAATAAAAAACCCGATGGACACACGATAAAGGAAATGTTCAAATTCGGCTGTGATCGTAGCAACATCGGGCCATTCGTGAGGGCATCTTAAGCCATCGTATGACCGCCGGTGGAGTTTCTCAGGCTCCGGCAGCAACTTCGTGAGCGGTGGCAAAATCTTTGGCATGCCAAAAAATTGCCGAAGGACCTTGAGAAGGTTCATTTTCGTGTGTCAATTTTGCCCTTCGTAAGGGCATCGTGAGGGCATCGTGTTATCATCGGTGCCATCGGGCATTCGCCCCGATCAGAGTGAGGGCGAATGCACCGATGATAACACGAAGATGACACGATTTGACAAGATGCCCTCACGAGTGCCTTACGAAGTTGCCGCTCACGAAGTTGCTGCCGGAGCCTGAGAAACTCCACCGGCGGTCATACGATGGCTTAGATGCCCTCACGAATGGCGCGATGTTGCTACGATCACAGCCGAATTTGAACATTTCCTTTATCGTGTGTCCATCGGGTGTCAATTTCAGGACAGTGTGACAGGGCCTTTAGGGAAGAGCACACAGATTCAAACTTTCCATGTACGTTAAAATTGGTTTCCATGTCCTATAACATTTGCAAGTGAAGCCATGTGTGGAAACTTCGTAAGTTCTGTCACCCACTGGACATGAGTGGGAGACGCCTCCTGCTTCCGCCTCATAAGTATAAGTCGCCTAGCAATTAGGGACAGGTTCTAACTTTGACAGATGAGAGTGAACACGACTCACTCTCCCAGCATCTCCCCGGTGCTTTTGTCCAGCAGTCTGACGGTAGAATCCAGACTGGAGCTCAGAGTGCACTGACCGTCCTGACTGAAACACACACATGTGATGGGACCTGCAACACACACACACACACCATGTATACATCACTTCAGGGGACATTACATTGACTTGCATGCGTTTCCTGGAGACTCATCCTAACCTTAACCATAACCAACACATGCCTAACCCTAACCCTAACCCTTAACCTTAACCCTAACCAAGTCTTCACCCTAAAATTAATGATTCCCCTTATGGGGACCTCCAATTTGTCCCCATAAGGGCGGCGAGTCCCCACACGTGACTATGTAAACAGATTTAGGTCCCCACAAGTATAGTAATGCTAGGCCACACACACACACACACACTGCATTTTGTAGTACTGCTAGTGGTGAATGCTGAAATGCATCATGAATTACTCACTGCTGATGAAGTCCACGTGCAGCTGTCCCTTCCTCAGGTCGTAGCGCCGCACTCTGCCGTCCACAGACCTGAACGTGAGACAATAACAGGAGGATATTTCAAAACAGAGCCACGGTGACGATTTATGATCGATGTAATCTTCAAATGAACTGTATTTAATGTCAGGAAGTGATTGTGTTCTGACCCGGTGAGCAGCTCGTGCTGAGCCACCTTCAGGCTGCTGACGCCGTCTCGAGCCTCGTCCAGAATCTGGATCGGATCAAACCTCCTGGAGCGAGTGTCCCAGCTACGAACTGTCCCATCAAGAGAGCCTGCAACACACACCCCCACACACACACACACACACACACACACACACACACACACACACACACACACACACACACACACACACACACACACACACACACACACACACACACACACACACACACACACACACACACACACACACACACACACACACACACACACACCCACACACACACACACACACACACACACACACACACACACACACACACACACACACACACACACACACACACACACACACACACACACACACACACACACACACACACACACACACACACACACACACACTTTGAGGAAGACTGTCTCTCACTCACTCGCCCTTTCTTTCAATTAGCAAGCCCCCACCTTTCCTAGTCCGCCCCCTAAATCCATCACAGCACGATGGGGTCTAATCGCCAAAGTTTAATATATATTGCCCTTTGTTTACACGGAAATCGCACTAAACTAACTAGAAGTCTCTACGGAATGATGTTTTGTGCATTCAAGGTATTTAACACGAAGACTCACCAGAGAAGATGACAGACGCCTCCTCGTTGAACTGGACACAGTTGACTTTCTGTAAGACAGTTAGGTGAGA